TGGGAGAACTTGCACAATTGGTGGCTGACTAAATACTTTTTTGCCCCACTGTATATCTGAAACAGAAGCAAGCAGAATACATCAAATTCCCAAAGAAATTGTTTCTCATTTAAGTAGCTGTTTCTAGGGATTGTTACAATGTACCCTAGCTTGACTACAAAGCTGGAAAGTGTTATAACATTAAGAAATAATGTGCTTTACAGGATGAATAAATGGGCTGTAGGTGCCACAGATTTTGTATTACAGGTTAGTCCTCGTTTAGTGACTGTCTTGTTTAGTAACCATTTGCAGTTATGACAGTGATGAAAAAGTAACTTTGTGACCAATTTATGACCTTGCATTTATGACCTTCATAGGTCTGTAAAGCAAATAAAAGCTGAAGTAAGATCATAAGCACAATCATGGTTTCACTTAGCGACTGCTTTCTTAATGACTGAGTTGCCAGTCCCAATTATGGACACTAAACAAGGACTACCTGTATAATCTTCCACACCTTTATAATATATGGTTTGGTTTAATTATATAACTCTATTCCTTTTCCTTTTATTGATCAGCAACTGCCCACTGTGAGTGTTTAACCAGCAATTCTATGGGGAATGAATTTTGCTATTTATTTGGTTATGGCATATACAAATGTCACATCTGTATTATCCTCCCCAGTCCAAACTACACAATATATTAATGATGAACAGAGTATCCTCCTTTAATCTTTCCTTTAGACACAAATATGCCCTAAAGGTGAAAAGATCATCTAACTGTATTCAAACAATGATATTGACTGTATTCATACATTCATACACATCGGTTAGCATAGTAATGTAGAATGTGGCCCTTACATTTAAGCCCCTTTTCTAATTAATTGGATGGTCCTACATTTTTATAGAACTGACTGATAACCTCATATTATTCCCTTTAACATTATCAATAATAAAAAAAAGGAAAATGATTGAATTGTAGAAAGCCAAAATAAGGAATACATAAATACCTTAAATAAAGCCTCACAACATTTGTGAGCCAAAACAAAAGTCCATCCAAGCCCAGGAAATATATTTTTTTCCTGGGCAGGAATTACTACTGAATGTGTTGTTTTTGGTGCCTTCAAATCAGTGTTGACTCCTTGCAAGTCCTGCAGTTTTCTTGGCAAGATTTTGGAAGTGGTTTGCCATTTCCTTCTCTCTAGGACTGAGAGGGAGGGACTGGCCCAAGGTCACCCAGCTGGCTTTGTGCCTAAGGTGGGTCTAGGTCTCCTGGTCTCTAGCCTGGTGCCATAACCACTACACCAAATTGGCTCTTACTGAATGCTGTAGGTTTTAAAATTTAGGAAAACCTATAATACAGTTCAGGACAATAAAAATATTTCCAAATTCTAAAGTCTAGAGGTACTGCTGCTGCTCTTAGCTGCAGTTCAGCATGACTAAAAAGTTGAAACAGGAGTTGTATTGCCTCAGAGTTCATGGTCTCTCAAGAGGGCCCTAGGCAAAACAAAAACCATCAAAACAATTTGGAATGAAAATAATAAATAGGACACATTCAGCACCGAAGTCTCCTTATTTGGAGAACTAGAATAGCATTTGAATTGAGTGGAAAGCAAACCATGAATTTTCTGCATGTCTAGACTGGTATCTTTTTTGAGTAACAACGGAAATCTTTAAGCCCTAACTTCTTGCCTTTTTACCTTTTCTGCCTTTTACTACTCAACTCCTTCTTGCCTTCTGAAAGACAAGAGGCATGTTCAAGCACCAGTATTCTTTTATCTTGATACTGCAGGTGTTGGAAGAGATGTGGAAGGGGGAAAAGAAGACTCCAGCTCTGATTGTTAAAGAAAAGAAACTTAACCTACTCCAGGATTGGAATGAACTTGAGAGTATCTGTTGGACTGTGATGAGAGACCATCAGAAAGAGGTGATATTGATAACAGACCTGGGAAATTGGGAACAAGAGGTTTGACACTTTAGGGTGGATAGTGGAGATAAAAATGTAAATTGCCTTTTCCGTTCAAATTACCATGTTGTTTAATAACTCTTTAGGAAAAAATGGAAGAAATTGCATTGTGACACATGAAATGCCCACAAGAGACAGTAACCGAGCGAACATTTAAAACTAAGACCTCCTTGTTCAGGAAGTCTCAGATCACCTGACCTGAATGTTTTCTGGACAGCAAAGCAGTATTTCCCTATCATATAAGCAATGTAAAAACAACTCTGTTTTTGAACATATAGTTCAATGCTGCTGCTTCTGAAGCTTTTAAAGTGAATTTTTTTTTGAAGATGTAGCTACCTAAGGAATAAGAACTTTTGTGTTCTGTCCAGAGGCTAATAATAACTTACATTAAGTAAAATATTATCTAGGTACTTTTGAGGATGAAAAAAATGTTAACATCTATTAATAACAATGCTGCCAGGCAATGCTCCCCTCACCATTAGGAGCCTGTAATAAATTTGAAACTGCTTTCTAGGTGGTTTTGGTAATCATATTAATAATTACAGTGCTATCCTTGGAAAATTATGCTATTTTTTTCTGTAAATAACAATCATTTTATGCTGGAAGAAAAACTTATCCTTTCAATAATAGCTTGACCAAGAATGTACTTGCTTGATTCTCCAGAAGCAGCAACTGTACATTATTGCAACTTTAAGATTATTGTAGTAATGTACCTAGTTGCTATGAATGTTTAATGTAGTGCATACAGTTTAATGAAATTCAGGATTTACTGCTAGAATCAACAGATTGTCCAAACTAAAAACAACTTTTTTAAAGCCATAAATTAGACATTAGAATTTGTGTCTTTAAAGTCAGATCTTGCTATGGTTACTAGTTTTGTAACCTGCTCATTCAAAGGTAAGATGCTGCTAAGTACCTTTTTGTGGGAAACAGTAAGAAGGGATTAATATGTGAAAGTGCATCAAGGACCCTCCAGGGTACATGTGACTTGGCATTTTCTGTTGCAAAGCAGTGTCATGTTTATTGTACAGATATGAACTGATTCCTGTAATTTTTAAAGGATTTTTATACAAATTATTCTAAATCACTAGATTGAATCTAACTTAAGGTAAGTACAACTCAAGTGTTGTGATTTATGTGATTCCCATTATGATAGGAAAGTTCTTTATTAATAGAATAGTCTAACCTTTTGGTTAAGAAGGCTTGCTCTAAATTTTACTAACAAATAAAAGAGAAATATAGTAAAAAGTCACTGTATTTTCCTATTATATGATAATGTTCAGTACAATCATAACCCAGTGTATATGAAACTTCTCTGTTTAGGTGGCAGAGATAAAGAAGGGAAACCACAAGGTCCTGAATACCATAATTGGACATGTCCAAAGAACAACAAGAGGGCGATCGGATCCTGTAACTGTGAAACAAATTCTAGAGAAGCTACTATCATAGGAGCTTGGAATAAAAATTATGTGTCTGATCTACCATTCTTAATGTTCTCAATAGCATCAAGCCATTGTACAAGTTCTAATGCAGTGCTGAGACTGCTACATCACTGTTTAGTCATTTTCCAGGTTGTTTTTTTTTAAGGTCATTATCCTCTTATGTTCCTATTTATTCAAAATGTAAACTCCACAAGGAAGGAAATAAAACTGCAGTGTGCATGAGTTTTCTGATTAAAATCTCCTGCTTTTGTAATATTGTGGTATGTAGTAAAAAGTGAGAATTTTTTCATAACTAGATAATGTTAACTATAGTCTCTTAATGTAGCTTCTTATGAATAATCAAAACAGAATATTGTCCTATTTAAAAAATACTCAGGAGTCTGAGGCACCCACAATTGCTTAGTTGTTTCTTGAAAATTTGGTATTTCTGTTACATGAACTAGACAATTCTGAATTCTTTTTCAACTTGATGCCATCTGTTTTGGGAAAGAAAACATATTAAGCAATGAGAGCCCAAGGAACCCAAGGATAAACCTGGGCCACAGGGAAAAAACTTCCAGGGCCCCTGGCGAGCAGAACAGTATGGCATGGTGTGGCAAATGGCAACAGTCTGGGCAGGAGCCACAGAGAGAGAGAATTTGGAGCCAAACTCTGGACGTTGGGGTGTTTTGATCCCACATGCCCGGAGGGCCCGAAGATCAGCTGGATTGGCACCAGAGGACTGGTGGTGGCCTGAGCAGTGGCTGGATGGGACTGGTGTCACAGGCCTGAGGCCAGGATATCGGCTGATCAACTGGCGTCCAAACAGCAGCTGTGGCCTGAGGGGGCCGAAAGGACTATTTGCACTGACCCGACTCAGGACAGTAGTCTCACACCAGACTTGGTTTTCTTGTCAGAGCAGTGGCAATGTGAACTGAAAGGGGAATTACATCTGTCTCCCTTGTCATGGTCAGATCATGTCCTGGTGGCCCTGAGATTCTCCTATGCTACCCTGCTCCACAGACCTATTAAATTTGTCCGCCCACGGTGACTGATGGACCCAATTGGGTTCCAAAGGAAGCTGGGGGTTATACCCGAGGGTCTGCAGCACAGTCCAGTGGAGGCCTTGACCACTACCTGGAAAGCGGCTGAGGCCTTGGACAAGATCATGCCCATGTGACCTCTCCTAATCCATTGAGCCCGACACTCCCCGTGGTTTATGGATGAGTTGAGGGTCATGAAAAGGATTAAGAGATGCCTAGAGCGCCGCTGGAGGAAAACAAGGACTGGACACGACCGGACACAGGCTAGAGCCACTATTATGGCATACCTTGTGGCAGTAAGAGTGGCAAAACATCAATATTTCTCCGCTCTTATTGCATCCACAGGCCCTGTTTAAGATCACCCAATCTCTTTTGGGAAAAGGGGGGCCAGTGGCCCATTGACAGGGATGCGCAGAGGAATTTTCTGGATATCTGGAGGATAAAATCACTTATATCCAGTCCCAGTTGGATGCCAAGTGTGGGGCATGGTTTGTAGAGATGCCCAGAGTATGGACATACCCTGTTATATGGGAAGAGTTTGATCCTGTTGAACCTGAGGAAGTGGACAGGGTCCTCCAGACAGTCAATGCCACCACTTGTCAACTAGATCCCTGTCCTTCCTGGCTTGTTAAGGCCACTCGGGAGGTGACATGTGGGTGGGTGATGGTGAATTCATCCTTTTTTTTTTTTTTT